ATCCCCGATAATAAATGTTATTGTTTATTGAATGGTAACTCTGTGCTAGGCATGGTATTAGGTGTTTTGTACATTATCACTGGATAAGATACACATTATCATTCAAGTGTTTCCTGTAGAAAATTGGTCTGTCAATATGCTTTGGAGGAAAAAAGATTCTGTGATCTAACAGGTTTGGGAAGTGCTGGATACTTTTCCTTCTTGTTGAAAATTCTCAATGTGTTGTAACATATTAAACATACTGAAATGTCATGAAGTAAGGGGGCGTTTGTCCTGGTGCTCCATGGGTTACTCGACCATGATTTTTTTTTTTTTTTTTTGTGGTACGCAGGCCTCTCACTGCTGTGGCCTCTCCCGCTGTGGAGCACAGGCTCTGGACGCACAGGCTCAGCGGTCATGGCTCACAGGCCCAGCCGCTCCGCGGCATGTGGGATCTTCCCGGACCGGGGCATGAACCCGTGTCCCCTGCATCGGCTGGCGGACTCTCAACCACTGCGCCACCAGGGAAGCCCCAAATCTTATTTGAGTAACACTTGCCAATGAAAACCAATTTGAAAAATACTCCTTCAACACAACCTTATGACCTAGAAACTATATCCCCCATTACATATTAAAAAACTAAGGCTCTGAGAAATTCAGTTATTTGTCTACAGACATTCAGTAAGTGACTCCACTAGAACTTGAACCTAAATTTGGCTGATTTAGAAAATTCTCTTTTGATTCTAAGTCTAGGACTCTGGGTCATTGACTCTGATATCTATTTTGGAGTCAACTGTTAGTAAGGCTGAAATAAAATTGTGGAAAGGATTAAATGTAATACAGTAAGTCCCCTACATACAAAGGAGTTCCGTTCCGAGATCGTGTTCATAAGTCCAATTTGTTCATAAGTCCAAAAAAGTTAGCCTATGCATCCAATCGGCTATATAGTACTGTACTGTAATAGGTTAACTTTTCACACAAATAATACATAAAAAACAAACAACACAGAAAATAAACGTTTTTAATCTTACAGTACAGTACCTTGAAAAGTACAGTAGTACCAACTACATCACTGCTGCTTTTATGCTTGCTTCTGGACATCCTGGGCTTGAAATAAAGATACTATACTACTGTACTCTATACAGTACTGTACAGCAAAGTCCACAAAAGCACAACCACTTGTAGAGAATGTACGCACGTGACAATGTACGCCAGATACCAAAGCTAACTTACATGACTGGACATGAGAACGTACGTTCGCATCTTTGAAAGTTCTCAAATTGAAGGTTCGTATGTAGAGGACTTACTGTACTGTATGTTAAAACACTTTGAAACCATAAAATAATACGTAGCTATCAGAATTAGGTAGTATACAGTTTAAAGTAGTACATAAATATTAATTTTATCCAAACCTCTGAATGACATTTTTAAAGGATAGTCTCTATAGAAAGACAAGTTTTGTTACCATTAACCCTAATCATCTATACCTCATCAATCACCATTGAACTTTCTGGATAGCATTTTTGATTTATTAAAGAGTCCTTGGGAATATAAATTTATGTAATTTGTGGTTTCTATATATAGAATCAATGAATTATGAATTATATGATATTTATTTCAACATCTGATTTTGTTTTGTTTTGTTTTGTTTTGTTTTGTGGTACGTGGGCCTCTCACTGTTGTGGCCTCTCCCATTGCGGGGCACAGGCTCCGGACATGCAGGCTCAGTGGCCATGGCTCACGGGCCCAGCCGCTCCACAGCATGTGGGATCTTCCCAGACCGGGGCACGAACCCGTGTCACCTGCATAGTCAGGCGGACTCTCAACCACTGCGTCACCAGGGAAGCCCCATCTGATGTTTTTGATTATGAGGATGTGAACTCTGATCTAGGGCAAACAGTATGTTGCTTTTACCCCAATAACAGCTAATAAATGTCAGTGTAATTTATAGACATTTTCTTAAAAGTATATTTATTTAAAGAAGAAACCAAGACTGAGAAACAATCAGGGCAAGAGTCAACTCTCCTGAACATGCTTTACTGGAGAAATCTAGAGTTGATTGAAGAGACTTGTGATTCAGAAATTTGAACCCATTTAAAGCTAAGCAAAGAGTAGGCAAAATGCTACATGTTTGCACAGATGGCCTATCTCTACTTCTGAGAAATATAGTTTTTGGGATTACTTCACATGTCAAAAGGTAACCCCATTAAGGAGAACAAAGACCAACTTATCCCATATTGAGGGAAGCTGAAAGGCATCTTCAATTCCCCTATTCACTGTGAAGAGGAAAAGAGCTCAGAGGAACAGCAGACATCCCGTCACAACAAATTAAGTATGTAGTTGGCTTTCTATGTCACAAACTCAGAGTGAAAATTATTTACAGCATTTTGAATGCAGGTGGGAAATAAATCTACAAAGATCCGTAACTAATGTGTGTGGAAATTCTTTCATCTATTTACTTTTCCTCCTTATCCTTCTTCCCAGTATACTTGGAATGAATTGAAAATGGCAAAGGATCCAGAAGAATGAGTATGAAAGTGGTGAGGCTCAGAAAAGATTGCTACAAAAGCAACCACTCTCTTAGGACAGGAATGAAATAACATCTTGTGAAAAGATGTTCTTCAGTGCAAAGAATGAGGGCAAGTGAGTGGAAAATAGAAGATGCTAGGCATTAATTTTTAGCTTAGGACTATGCTTGGAGCTTGCAAAATATAATCTATAGCTTGAAAAAAAATCACAGTTCCTTAAAGATTCTGAACATACTACCTATCTGGACCTACAGAAGATTGTTAAGCTCTACAAGTAAATGTTACTTGAGAGCTTGATGGTAATGAATTTCTCTGCAGGGATCATTTTTGACTCTGTTGTGTCTTCCTGAGTGACGCTCACCTTAGCTATTGCTCTTCTTCCATGACACCAGAGGCTTCAAGTTTAGTTTTCATTTTCTGGGTCACTTTTTTTAATCTTTAAAATCTAAGACTTCTTGGACTCTCAGTGTAAATAATACATTTCAAATAGTAGACTCAATTTGAATGAAAAATTAACATTTTTAAGGAGTTATTATGAAAAGATGGGGCTTTGTGTACTTGGAAATGGTGGATCTACAGAGTGTATGGTACAGGGAGAAGGAAAGAGGAGAAAAAAAGATTCACAAAGATGAAAAGAATTCCTCCAAATATCATTTTGTTTCCATGCTTGGCACTGTTGAAAGTCTGAATCTACTTTTGCATGAGGCAAGAGTTGCTTATTTTTAATACATGAAAATACAACTAAGACAACCATTCTCTTGATGGTATAGACAATTCCTGTAAACACGCATATCTTGGAATCTGTATACGCCTAATATGCTGCTGTTTCAATATAAAATGCACATGTGTCTCCAGTGCATTGAATTCAATGTTCAGAGTACATGAGTTTTGCTATCTTAAAACAAGGATAGGGATTATGGCTATTTATGCTTAGTAGATACAGACATCATCAACACCACCAATTAGCAGAAGCAGTTTCTACTTGGCACAACTTTTTTTTTTTTTTAATGATTACACAGTGTGAATTGAGGACTGTGTCCGAATCCCTCTCTCCTCTCGAATTAATTTGCCACATTCTAAATCCGTAGATAAAGTGGTTCCGGAAGTGGAGTTGGTTGGATGGGTTTGCTTACACTGCAGTCCATAAAAGAAACAAAAAGCCTTGCATGCAAAAGAAATGAGAAAAATATAGAAAAATGAATAAATCAGAAGCAAAAATGGGCATTTAAATGAAAATTTAAATCAAATGAAGCTGGCAATTATGAGAAGCACATTAAAGCATAACATATACAAGCTTTTAGTTTTCAAATTATTTGCATAAAAAAAGACACCTCAAGAGCAAATCGAAAGTTAAAGCAGATCAGTCCATTCTCCCTTTTAATTAGACAGTTTTCTCTAATAAGGTCTCTGAAAATGGTGCTTAATGTTCTCACAATTGCCTTGTAATTTTGGGAAAAATTTCAGGATGAAACCAGGTTATAATCAATAATCCCCATCTCTGGGAACTTAAGGAGAATTTCCACTTAAAGGAAGTGGGACTAGTATGAAATTATTAATGAAAACTGGCTACATTATTTGTGGGGTCCAGAACAAAATGGAAATGTAGAGCCCCTTGTTCTAAAATTATTAAGAATTTTAAGACATTGATAGCTGAGCATTAAACTAGGCCTGTTATTAATAGTTCATAGTTTCAAAATTCTAACAATACTTTTAAATTGATTGGGTAACCAAATACTCTACAATGGGCATGAGCTTTGTGTTTTGTTTATTCTCATATGCCTATGAAGGAATTATCTTTAATCACCGTCATCTTATTCAGAATAGTGTAAGCTCTTGATGTGATTTTCATCAAAACTAAAAGTAACAGGCAAAAAATGGTTGACTGTTGAAATCAATGATTATCCTAAAATTTGGAAAAATAGATTCTTTAATATATTTTATCATCATTCTGTATTGTTCATCATCTTTCAGGCAAATATTTTTGTGAATTATTCTTTTATAAAATGTACTTTGATAGAGGTAAATGCGGTTTCAAAATATTACATTTATATCTTTATATAAATCGCTTTGCATTAGTACATGTGCTCAGTACCTACACTTAGGAGATGTAACATTTCTCTCAAAGACCTTTTTATATATTTTCCAATTTTGGATTTACTTCGTCCTTGCTCTGTCTAGGGTTTCTATCTTAAGAGTAAATAACTGTTAAAGAAATTAACTGAGTTTGGAATTTTTGCACTGTCATTCCAAATAGTGATAATTGAATTTAGTGTATAAGGTGCTTCCTTCTTCTCATTAATAAATGATGGGGCTACAGTACCAGCAGCACCTGGCAGGGATTCAATAGCTCTTAGCTCTAACTCAAAAATGGACCTTCTGGGCATCTAGTTCAATAGACTGTTACAAAAAAAGTGCAAGCATCCTTTAAACTCCCAAACTTAAGACAGATAACACAAACCAAAAACCACCCAGTCCTAGAAAGAGATGACTCACCTGCTCAATATCGTTTTTCCGTGATTTGTATATAAATTCTCCAATGGCTACAAATACAGAAAGGACCAGTCCAGCAGCCAGAACAATGAAGATACCCCCAATATTTTCTACTCCCAGAGCACTGGCCTCTTTGTTGTCTTCCTCAGGGCAGCCATTTCCCCGCCACCATTTCTCTTTCATCATATGCAGTTTCCCCTCTTCTTGTAATTGAAGAATAGCAATAGTAATTTTATCCCGGTAAGGAGAGCCTGTAAGTGAGGTAATTTGGATATTGGTCACCAAAAGGCTGAAGAAGATGTGAAGAAGGATTACTGTCTTAGGGGTAACTACTTTATGGCTGTTGGAAAACCCCAATCCATAAGTTGACTAGCAAAGGGCAATCCTATATTTTGAAGGATGTAAATAATTGGACAGCAAAAAGCTGACATGTTGAGATCAACTCTTACCCAAACTGTCTGTTCCTTTTAAACAAGGAAAAGCTAAGCTGGGAATTCCATGACATCCTGCTGCTTCTGGTGAGTTTTTTATGAATCCTTTCCCACATTAGGGAATTTCACTGTTTAGATTCCACTTTTTCTAGGCTTTTGGATGTCTAATATTGTGACAGCCTGGCTAATGATCACCAGTACCATTTCCTCTTCTTCCTATGGGAGTAGCTAGACATTTCCTAGTTTCCTTTATAATTCATTGTGGTGATTGACCGATTGCTAGCCATTGGGAACTAAAGCGATGTATGACTATTTCCAGTCCTGTCTCATAAATCCTCCCAACATGATCCTCTACTCT